AGATTTGGTCACAGGATGTGTCAGTCATATTTTATTTTGATTTATTAAATCTTACATATTAAGAAATAAATGTATTAGGACAGTTATGACCAAAAAGTAATGAAGAAGCCACTTTTTTTTTTTCATTTTTAAAAGTTTTCTTCTGAGTCTGAGACTTTTAGGATTTAAGTTCTGCCAAATGTATACTTACTGAAAAAAGAAGAGAACAGTGCTTATCCCAGTGGTATCTGAACTGAAATCTGCATTTTCTCTTAGTATAAATTCAAATAAAAATAGTTGGTATTATCTCTTAGTACAAATTTTTTAAAAAATAAAATTAGTATTTGAACAAACTTCAGTAGAGGAGATATTCGCAGTTCAAATTATTGTATTTAAGATACAATCATTAATCCAAAATGAGCTAGCAAGCAGTGGAGGTTTTTCATTTTTTTTTTTAACCATGTTCTTTCAGGCATATTTTACATGGTAGAATGCAATATGTGTAGAGATTTTACTGCACAAGTACCTTCAACCCTTATATCCTACTCTATTCCTTTCTGTGAAATGCAAAAACCATAAATGTACCATCAAATTTATAGATTTCAGATAACTACACTAAAAAGTATGGGATGAAAAAGTACTTGACTTTAGGATTTTTGCTCTCTCACAATGCATACAGTCAGAGTCATGATTACTAAGATGTTTTTAATAGCTCTGTAGTCTGGTTTAATTTTTCGAAAGGGTAAAAATGCACTTTTTGATGTAATGTATTCACCTATCTGATATAAATAAAACTTTTCACGCAGAAAAATGTTTCCCCAAATGGAAGATTAACGCCCCTTAAATATAGCAATTTGCTTCTAATAGCACAATGTTTCGTGAAAATTCCATCTCATTTTCCATATAATTTGGGGAAACATATTGGTGAAATTGAACATGTCACTTTATAAGTCAATGCTAGACATCAACGCCTTTTCATGGCTTCAATGACAACTAAGATAGCTTTTGAACAATCTGTTAGAGAAAGTTTGTTTTGATTTTGGCCTTCAGTTAGTCAATGTGGTTTCTTCCATGTTTAGATTCACAAATCTTACATCTTGCCTAAGTGGACAAAAGGATTCTTGCTGTGAAAAAGCTGTAATTGTCTCCCAACTTGATATCAGAAAGTGTACCTCCAACAGATGTCAGTATAATCTTATCCCCAATGCAACATAAGGCCATAAACTTCCAGAACTAATCTAGGATCACTGTTAACGCCAATGGCTCCCTATTGCCTGCACTTCAGAGTGACTCCACCTGCCTTCTCAGCCTTGTCTCCACCTCTCCCAATGCATTGTTCTTGCATTGCCTGATCTGCTTTTGGACAAGCTGTTCTCTCCTCAAAAATGCCTTTCCCCCACTCAATCTCCTGTCACATTCCTGTTCAGATATGCCTATTTAATGAGTTCTCTCCACACTCCCAGAATTAACTTCAATCTCCCTTCTGTTTTCCTAACAGATATTGCCATGACATGGTAATGTAACACCTCTGGGAAGCAATGTCTTGTAGTGGCTAAAAGTGAGGAGTTGGAAAACAGAATTTGAATCCTGGCTCTATCACTTACTAGCTATGTAACCTTGGGAAAGTTACCTTAATCTCCACGAGCCTCAGTTCCCTCACCTATAAATAACAATAGTACCTACATTACTGTCTTGCTGTGAAGAATAAATGTTCTTAGCACAGTGCCTGTCATCACACAATGAGTACTTGACATTACTATGAGTGGATGAAGAGCTCAAACACGGCAGATAAGAATACTGTGGTCTTGTAATTTGAAGAGTTAACCCTCAGAGTAGGACCTGAAAGTGTAGCCATCTTAAAGTCATGTGGTGACTTCCTTTGTAAAGGCATATGTGGAACTGTCAGATAGTGGAAAGCAAATAGTAGGCTCACACACACCTTCATTGAAAGAGCTGACAGGGGCTGCTTTTAGGATAGCTCATCTTTGGTTGTGACATATGACACACAAAAAGAAACTGGATGTTGCACAAAGGCAAGACTGGAAGGCAACATGGAGATAGGCCTTAATTTCTTTGCAAAGAAAATCTGTCTGGTGATGTGGAGACTTCCAGTACTACTTGTTATAAAATGGAGACATTTAGGTAGTGAAGGACAATTCAGCTTAAATGAACAAACTTCAAATTGAGAGCCCGCCTTATTTAAAAGGAACAAATTTCCTCTACTTATTTAAACTTACTTAAAAGGAACAAACTTCCTCTATTGAAGTTTGTTCAAATACTCTTTCCACTATTTTACATTTGAGTTATAACACTGGGAAAAGGTAAAAACAACAACAACAACAACAAAAAACTGTTATGGAATTCATTTCCTTACAGGAAAAAAAAAAACAAAAAACAAATTACAGCTACTGCCAGATGAACATTATGTCTAAAACAAATGAGGGATTTAATGCATTGCAAAATGCCACTTGGAGGGCTTTGGCTGAGAAAAGCATTCAAACTTTATTCCTTCACATGAATGTAACTATCCCCATGTGCATTGGTCTCAGGTTAGAAAGCTCTGGGTGCTTTTCCTAACCAACTTAATGAGAAAATTTAATTTTCTATTGCTAGTTTTTAAAAAAATCAAAAGCTGACTAAACACAACAAATTAGTCGAAAAACCATTTACATATCCTGAATTATGTTTCTAAAGAATAATAAAAAAAAAAAACTGCCTTTGCATTTATAGAAGAGAAATTTAGAAAAACACTTTTATAGTATTTTTTTTATGCTCTTTTGATCATCTGTGCTGGGTTTTAAAAATTCTTGGATTGACTTCATCATGCAGGAAAGCAAGGTAGCAATTTTTTTTAAGGAACTGGCAGTGATGTACTTAAGGGCTCAGCCCTTTCCTTCTGGCGGGAAGAGACTGGATCTCATGGGGAAAGAGGAGCCAAGAGTGACTAGGAGGGGAGGAGGCTGCTCAGAACTTGCTGCTCAGGGCTGACGGCAGCTTTTTATAGGCTGTGTAAAACGAGTGTATGGTGGCAGCAACATATAGGTGTGCCAAAGAAAACGAGTCTGCGTGTTAAACTCTGGCATGTGCACCACAGGCTGCCAAGGCACGGCACGGTCCTCAGGCTAATTTTTGATGTCCTGCCCCAGAAATTAAGTAAGCCTGTTTCCATTTATTCCATGAAGATGGTGAGTGGTTGAATGTTTTGATGTTATAAAAACTCCTGGTACAGAAATCTGCCATTTGGGTTACTTTCATTTAGACTTTTTTTTCAGATTAGACACATCTGAAAAAGAGCATCAGCAATTCAATATTCACATCTATTAATGCAAGCAGTTGCAGAGTGGCAGCCCATTCTAGGGTAAGCAGGAAATGCTATCTGATCAAATTTAGGTTATATGTTAATGAATGAAATACATAAAATGGGACATTTCTTTGTTTTTCAATGTAAAAAAACTCCTGCCAAGTCTGGATGACAAGACATAATGTTTTACTTTAACCCTTTTTCCATTTTATTCTCTGTACTAAATTGTAAACAATTTCTGAGATTTAGTTCATCTTAAAATATGGGTCATACGATTTAAGATTAAATTTCTTAAATTCACAATGAACTCAGTAAAAAATTTCTCCTTTATTTCTTTTTATTGTTTCCACTATCTTAACCCTCAGCATAAGACCCCTGGTCCTACACAATTGACTCAAAGCCTTGGGCAGGTCAAGAGCTCTTTACCCTTCACTAGTAATTCAATGCTATTGTAGGAGAGAGACATTCTTTTCTTCCCTTTTCAATTGCAGAAACATACCAAACCTGAATTGAGTCCAGGACTGGGGGAAAGAATAATTTTTATTAGTTCTAACGTAGCTCGATAGACACACTTCAAGACAATATTTAAGAGAGAGAGAGAGAGAGATACAGAGAGAGAGAGAGACAGAGAAAGGGCTTTCATTTTTTGTCATAAAGGGCAGAGTGGTTACAATTTAATTTCTAAGAAAAATTTTATAGAATAAAATGGCCTAACATTTCTTTTTCTTCGTTACACACATATGAGAAATATAAACTAAAAGGACATCTGGAAACTAACATTATTCAGCAATCAGAAAGGAATAATCCAAACCATTGAAGTTTTGGTGGAGACAAACTTAATGAGATTTACAAAAAAGAAAGCTGTAACCTATTGAAATAAAAAAAAAAAAAATCCATATGCATTTTACCTTTCGGGCAGTTCCATAGCAAAGTTCTATTTCAGAAGCTCTTTGTAATATGAAACCCACTGTAGATAAGATACAACAGGAAGATAGTCTGTTTTGCAGCATCAGGAAATCAAATTGGTTCCAGAAACTAAGTTACATGACAAATGGTTTAATAGAATTGCTAGAATTGAAAAGCTTGATTGAATTATTTTTCATAATCATTAAAAGAAGATTTTGAAATAACTTTGCCATAGCTGTTTAGATTTTTTGGAGGGAAGGGTGTTGCAGATGTGGGAAGACATCTAATTTTATTGGCCTTTTAAATAAAGTGTTATGATTTGTTATCAAAATTTAAGAGCTCAGTGGTGATGTATTAACTTTTGTTTGTAACAAAAAATTTCAGACAAAACAAAACTTGATTTAACATAACTAATATATGTTAGGGAGGATTAAACAGGTTAGCAAATATACATTTTATTATCATATTCAAGGTATTTTTAATTTTAATCTTAGTAGCTAGCAATCAGCCTGTTTTATTTTCTTAAAAAGCATCTAGAAAAGTTCATTAAGTCTTAAACGAGTCTTAGATTTTAGGAGAGACTTCTAAATGGTTAGCAAGATGTATCACTGACAAAATAACCCGGCTACTAGTACCCGTAGGTGAAATGAAATGAAATCATTCTCCTGACTCAAGTCAGGAACAAGTTAAATATCATTTAGATCACAGCACACGACTACAGAGATTTAGAAGAAATCATGCTTAAATAGGATGTGACTGGACGTTTAGACTATTTTCTAAGAGTCAAAAAACCTTTTTCCCTTTCAGTACTTACAATCTTTGAAGACTAGAGCCGGGTCTCTGTGAGGCAAGACTTGGGCAATGATGTGTCTCAGGGATTCCAAGGTTCTGTCCATCTTGGGTCTGCCTGTGTAAGCCTGCTGCACAGTGTCCTCATGCCTGAATTCTTGCAGTCCTGGACTGAATTTGTGCAGCTCATTGATGCACAGGATTACCAAAGAATCCCTTTTAACATCTGCCAATCAGACATTTCCCAGAATCTAAAGACCCTTCAGGGGGCCCTCCTCCCAGGCTCACTTATCTTTGTTGTGTGCTGAGCTAATTAGCTCTAAAGGCTGGCTGACAGGCTGGTTCCCATTGCTTCCTTCTGTTAAACACACCCACCTACAGGCCAGCTGGGGAAGCTCCCTCATCATGGGAACAGCTTTCCTCTCCAGCCAGATTTTGCCTGAATGGTGTGGAACTTCCTAACTTAGATATTTCTTTTTGGTCCCCATCTTCAAATGTGCTGTCCCCAGGTATACAGAATAAAGAAGATTACTTCTCAAGGAAATTTCCTTGGTAACCAAGTTGTTTCTAGCTTAAGACTTACAGCTCAGAATCAGTATAATCTATATTGTTCTTTGGTAAAGAAGTGCTACAAAGATTGTGAATGTAGCCACGCATCAGATTATGCCTTCTGTTTGAATTCAGCAACATCTCTTTGGGAGCCAACTTTTTAATTCCCTCCCTGCACCCCTACCCCCACCCGCAGCCCAAATTATAGTCACTTCTGATGAACAGTGGCAAGTAAAACCTCACAGACTGACTTTCAGCTTGCCTGGGAACATCTGTTTCCCTATTTATCCTTCAAAGCAAATCATTTCCAAGATTGTCTTTAATGAAGTCTACTATCACTTCCTTTCATTTCATGATGTTTTTCTACTGAAAATTTTAGAAGCAAAAAAATTTTTTTGAAAAGAATATAAGTAGTTATTAAAAGATCTTAAGAAAATGGAGATTCTTTTTCTACTTATATCCTTGACTACTTAAAACATCTTTCCATAGGAGACATAAATATAAGTCATGGAATTCCATTGCAGTGATAAGGATTTGTAACAGATGTAAAAGAACTGAGTTTAATGGCTATAACCTGCGTTAGTTGTTGAAGATTTGTTGAGGACTTCTTTACTTTTATTTAAAATATTTTTCTAGGGTAGGCACAAGAGATTGCTTTCCAATTTTCAGATTTCAAAATTATGTTGTATTATATGATTAACTGAAACCACTCCTTTAAAGTCTATATAAAAAGAAAATGTTTTCCATGTGATCAGCTTTTTCACCTAGTTGGTAGAAGGATGGGCTTTATAAAAAGAAACAGGAGGAATGGGGCCATAATTATAATTCTTATTATAACGACTATAGCAAATGCCCACAGGGATTATATGCCACACACAACAGAGACTTGGGGCTGTCCCAGAGAGCAAAGATATTATTATAAAAAAGAACTTGAAAGAAGCAGCATTTCACATTAAGATACTTATTTAGTGTCCCAAAGTGTACTTTACATGAGCTGTACTAAACAGGATATCATTAATATCCTTGCCGTCTAGGAGTTTATCATTTAAAAGAGAAACTGGAAGGTTTATAGACTAAAAACTATTATATATTAATTGGTCACAAAGTATAAATGAATGCAGTTACTTTCAGTGCGATATTGAATTGGAAATGAAGATATTTCAGGTTCCAATTAGAGAAACGAAAAATAATATGGAATTCTCAAAGGAGTGAGACTGATGAAAATAAAAAAATTAGAAATGATTGATGCTGGGATTTCAACCAACAAATAGACTTTTTATGGGCTTAAATTTAATTCCAGTAGTACATAAAAATATTTTGGTTGTGTAGTGTGGTGGAAGAACACTGAATCTTGGATTAGTAAAATCTAGGATTGATTTTTGTTATCTATATAACTTTAAAGAAGTCACTCATGTTTTCTGGGTTTGGAGTCCTTACCTATAAAATTAGGGGGTTGAACTGGATGCTCTCTTTCAGATCTAACATCTATGATTCCATGACTATATTGCAAGCAAACACAAATATCATCACACATTTTATAGCCTTCTGGAAAGGTATGTATTTATTTCTTAAAAGCTGGACTGGTCTTCAAACAACTCACTTTTACTCCCACGGTCAACCTCATATCCATTCACCGATATGAGAGACACAAATTAATTGGGTGAATTCAAAGATACCTGTAATGCTAACTAAAGTAAAAGCAAGAATTTGTTAAGAAAATTAATCTTCAACTTCCACAAGACTTTTCTAAAGAAAGTAAACTAGAGAACCCCAAAACAGCTTTGCAAAGATAATGTCATAAAAATATCATATTTTAATGTTATATTTTAAGAAATGAAAAAAGAATTCTAGAAAGGTAGATTATACAACATTCCAGTTAGTATAGTTTCTTCTTTCTCATTAGGCCCTACCATTCAGCAGTTTTCTGAAACCTTTGCTTACTTATGTACTTCTTCCTTGCCTGCCATAAGGACATTTCGCCTTAAAGTGCTATTGTAAGACAGTCTAGAAAAACAACTTTGTGGTTTCTTACCATTATAATGTGGAAAGCACTTGATAGAGATAGAAGAGCCTGAGAAATCCCTGTGCAATGTGTCTATCTTAGCACAGATTCTACATACAGTTCACATGTTAGATTTCACTGTCAATCTTAACCATTTGTACAGGGATAGACCAAAAGCAAAATCAAAGTATTGGAACAAGGGTAGATGACTACAGTGAAAACCAAAATGATGTTTTTACAAATCCTGTTAGAGTACTACTCAGAAGTATGAGAAATGACATCGAACTGACATATTCACTGATCAAAACTTATCAACCAATATTAGAAGAGGAAGACTCAATGCAATGGCACACTTACCAAGCTCTCAGCAAGTATAGAACTCTTTCAGAAGATGAGATATCAAGGTGGTATATTTTGCACAAATTCATGTACAATGTAACAAAAAAGTCTATGGAAACAATAATTTTGCTAGTAAGGAAAAGGAAATGCATTCCTATCATTCCAGTAATATTTTTGTTGTTCAATAGCTCATTTCAGGTATAAAAATTATAAGGAGGCAGGGGCCACTAATTGAAATAACATTCAGAAAGTTAGAAAACATAATAAATGCATCAAAGAATCATCTTTAGTCAAAAACAGGAAGGAATCCCCACCATACTTCTTGCTTCCCACTTCATAATCTGCTCTGCCGTGGAGAAGACTGGGGTAAGTGAAGCAGAACAGTGGCCGGTAGGTGAGGCTGCAGTAAAGTTGGAGAGTCTACAAGTCTTGAAAATTTCAGCACGAGGCACGCAGACTCCAAAGAATAGGTCCACAGTAACCGAACCTGAGCCAATTTATAACTACTTATCTCTAAAGAATCATGTGACTGAGGGAAGGAGAGGCTGCTGATTGAGATTTAGGAAGGTTATGGTCTCTGAAATAATTTCTTAGTTTACATGCTAATACTGCCTTGATTCTTAAAAATTTACAATTTAAGATATATAAAATGAAAAAGAATTGGGGTCATGCGGTTAAATACGGACAATAAGAAATTTACAAAAGCAATGAGAAATGACTGACAGCAGCTCCTTCCAGATTTCAGTGGGATATGGGTAGGGCCTAAATGCTGGATTGGCAAAAGAGGGTTAGAGCTGTGTGTGTGCTTTTAGGGGTGTGTGGGAGGGTGAAAGAGGGCAAGGGCCAGGAAGAAAATAACTTTGCAGAGGTAATGGCTAATGACTGGTAAGTATCAGCTTTGTTTAGCCTCAACTAGGAAATGACCAGTAGGAGGAATAAATGGCTTGTTAGCATCAACTTTATTTTTTTTTTCACCTGAGAAGGAACAAGTAAAGGGAATGAAATGGTTGCTCAGTGTTAATTTTACTATCAATTGAGAAGAGACCAATGAGGTATTTGAATCAAGCTATTAATGAGAGGGACAGTTAGTAAGGGAACTTCAGATTACTAGATAAAACGAGTTTAAAATCACCGGCAACATGAAAGAACTTAATCTCGGACTTTTTTTCATTAATATATATCACATTTAGGAAATCATCAATAAGTATTAATCTGTTGAACTACATGAATTAGAAAATTGATTAATACTCTACCTACAGATTAAAGAAATATACATTTCCTCATTTTTATAGAAAACTATGAAAGTTCTTTCCTGAAATAATTATCCTCTGCACCAGATAAAACCAGTAGTGAACTGTCCTTTTTCCTTGCCAGGGCAGTCAGTCAACACTATTAACCAGAAAGCACAACGAAAGTAAACTTGTTTATGTGAGCTTCCGTTTTTTTAATATATATATGTGTATACACACACACACACACACACACACTACATATGCAAAATATATAATGTATATTGATATATGATTATATAATGTGTGTATATTTATTTGTGGATCCCGAATGAGCCCATGTCATCTTGTCTTATGTAACCAGTTACCCAGGCCTGTCTTGGTATTTTGTTTCCAATTAATTCTTCAAGCAATACTTTGGAGGCCAAAGATATCATTGGGGGAGGCTTTGCTAGTTCATAGGTTAACACTTTAAGGATAAACTCAGAGTTATTTAAACATAGAATTTAAATGTTCAAATTTACCAGATTGGAGATAATGATGCCAAGCCCTTGGGTCAATAGCTATGTTTGGTGAAAACTGACTACCTTAACTCTGGCTGGCTGACTTCTAGCTTAATATCTATTTTGAAAAGGACAGTTTAAAAATTTTTGGTTTGTTTTTGGAGTGGATTTTACCAGTAGCCTTTATTTTCTTTTTCATAAAAATTTATCTAATTATTGGTCCCACATCCCCTGCATTTTCTTGCAACCCGCCTCCCGCCCCTGCCCCTACACACAAACACACCAGATCTCACTGTTCAGGACAGTAATTTATTTTGTTAGGTGTTCAGGAAAAACCTTTATACGAGTTGTAGCTATAAAGTGATGATAGTGGTTCTAAAAGACGTGTCTGAACTCCAGCTGAGTCTTGAGCCACTCCTCAAATAAAAAGAGATGATGTCTTCTATAAGGGGCATGCTGAGGGATGATACACCCAGCTGACATGGGCTAATTGGAGCTACTTTTACTTTCTTTAGATAAAATCATGTTTTGGGGGTAGTTGTGTGGAATGTTTAAATATTTGCAATCAATAGTGAGAATATTAAAATGAAAATCTGGACTATGAAAAATTAATATTAGAATAAAACAAACATAGGCAGAATGTTTATTGGTTATAAACAAATGACTTAAACCTGAGATTAGTTAATGGAGATGTTAAATTCAACCAAGCCAGTAATTTCATAGCTCCATATATTTTAGATGAAGCTTCCTGTAAAGACTGCATGATTAGAATGCTCTTAATTCAATTCAGGCTACACTTATAGATATGCTTACATTAAGATAAAAGCCTTGTGCCCATCCATTTCACACTGTAAGTTATAATTTCCATTTTACTTCCTATGCAGTCACTACTAGAGCACTGCACTTAGCATGCAGACTGCTGACACAGAAGAAATATTTTTCAAAATTTGTTTAAAGGAGGAGGAATAGGAAACTGTACACAGAAAGGGGACCTAATTTTCTATATACTGAAAACTGGAGAAAGGCCAAGTAGAGAATAATGTATTCTGATCCTCTCAAGGTACCTCAG